TGCTGGCCATGGCAGAGATGCCCTGTATTTTGCTGTTTTCACAATGGCTGGAGTTTTAAAGATATGGAATCTTAACACGCATTTCCTATCATCGAGGAACAGCAAACTTAGGTCAAGGGTATTTCTGTGGTTTGCTTTCATTTTGGGAGTTGGTAGCTGAAGCGTGATGATGGGGATATTTGATTAGACAGAACACTGAATTTCCTGACGCTGGCAGACAGTGGTGGGGTTGGCTGTACTTACAGTCTGCTTAACCACATCTGTGTGTGTCTGAACGTGCAGGGGGGCTAACGTGGTCAACCCTGATTAAGAATCGATTGAAAAGCAGTCTGCTCGGGAGACTCGTGAATTTGTATTGCTTTTTGTCTCTGTAACCATAATCATGTGAAATCTTATTAGCGCCATGTCAATTCTGCAAGATAAACTGATGCCGGTGTTTGCTTTCTAGACATTGAGGTTGTAGGTGAAATCATTTCCCCAGTCCCCAGTCTTAACTTGTAAGTCTTCTTCTTCTTCTTCTTTTTTGCTTATTCTGAGTGATTTTTCTTGGCTGTGAGCTTGGCTTCTTGGGTCTATGCTAATCTGCAGTTTCTTTTCCTGTCCTTTTTTGAAGAGGTTGGCTAGGAAACAGAGACGGTGTGGAGGTTAATTACAGATGTGTCCGCTGTAGAAATCCCAGGCTACCCAGAGGAGAGGTGGACTGTGCGCAAATTGTTTTTCTACAGTTATCCAGCGAATGCACAGTGGCATATTTTCCAAAGCCATTGGAATGTGGTTGCATGCGTGGCGAGCAGTTTCAGAGTCTGCCCGTGGTCATCTTCAGGAGTATTTTCCACGCCTCAGGGCAAGCCTCAGTGCTTTCTGTAACCCCTACGTGGGAAGCACATTGACTCTCAGTTTCTAACTTTGCAGCTAAAATAGCGGGTACTCCAGACTACCTTATCACAACTTGATGCAGGGAATTTCGACCTTTTGCTTCTGGATGATTAACTCTTCAGAATGCTTGAGATAAGATTGTGGATCTAATCCGTAGTATTGTCATTGCCAAGACTGCGCCTGTGACCTTCACAAACAGTTGGCATTAAAGCTGTGCCTTTGGTCGCAAAGCTGAAAAAAAGAACCCACAAGAAATCTTTTCCTGTGAATAATCAGTGTGGGGGGACACCGTGATCTCAACAAATAAATGAACAAACAAATCCAACACGCTCCAGATTGTTTATAAAGGCAGTCTTTTCGTGATACCAAAAGAGAGATCTTACCTTGACCTTAAAGTTCACGTACCGCTCTGCTGTTGCAGAAACTAGTCCAATTTTGAGGGCACGAGAACACTGTGCTTCCTCTGTTAAAACGCACAACTCCAAGCTGAGCAGACGAGGAAACTACTCATGAAAACCGCAGTTTAGTGTAGCTCCCCTGTGTTGCTTCCTGGTGCTGCATTTTTAGGAACTGATTCAGAGGTGTGGTTCCTCTCCCTGGGAGCTGGTTCTTTGGTCTTCTTTTCTCATCATTGCAAGGAACTCATTGCAGAATTCCCGGCACCAGAGCTATTTTCCAAAGAGAACTAGAACAATAAAATGGGCTTGCTAGCTGGCCCAGAGGTACCGTGGGATAGGATGGATCTGGCGTAGGCAGGTCCACCAAACCGGGCTTCTGTGCCTTCACTCAGGCAGCATGCTGGGGTCTTTCTGGCCGCGGAGGAGGTGGTTTCTACTTGGAATCCTCCACCACACTCTCTTCAACCATGTGGTGATGTTTCCCAGGGAGGCTCAGTTTCCAGAATCCAGCTGGAGTTTGAGTTGGCAGGTCCGTTGCGGCCAGGCCTGGTGGGGTCCCAGCTGGGCTTGCCGGGATTGATGGCCTCTTGGCTGATGCACAGGAGGGTGGTTGGCGCACATGTCTGTCTAAGTGAGCTGTTAGGGTCTGGTCCCATTTCCTGGGCGGCACGGTGCACTCTGGCAGAATAAAGGGGCGCTGCATTGTAAACGTGACTAGAGCAGGCTGAGAACTTTGAGACTGTTTTCCCCCTCTCTTGAAAACCCCACAGTAGGGATGCAGCTGGAGTGAAGGACGAGGGAGGTGGAGTGACGATGGAGAAGGTTACTTCAAGTGCAGGACCCAGAACAGTGCGGGGATGGGGGTCTCATGAATGGACTCCGCTTCTTGCTTGGTAACCGAATTCAGCACGTCTAAAACTCGGTTGCTCTGTCTGTGAGTGGGTAGAAACTCTGTCCTCCGGGTGACCTGCCTCCTCCAGTTCCACCCTGCACTGGAAACCCCATGTGTTGAGGAGTTCTAAAATCGTTTTACTGGGTAAAGGCAGAACGAGTCTCCCTGAAATATCCTGTGTCCTATGGGAAAGGCTGTATGGCAACAACAAAAAAATCTTATGCCATGAATTAGGTTTTTATTTCACTTTTGCATTGGAAATAGTTTGCCTCGTTATTTAGCGGTCTCTACTATGAATGGTGGCTCAAGTCTGTGACCTTGCCGGGATTTCTCTTGCACCTCATCAGCCTCCTTTTTAAGTGTACGCACCTGTGTGTGTGCAGTGTATGCGGTGGAATGTTCTTTCTCAGGTTTTTCGGGCGGCGAAGGTCAGGTCTGGCTTAATGGTTGGGCAGGTGGGTGGGAATGACGAAAGGAGATTTAAAATGCTAGCCTTAAAGTCTAGGAGCAGGAAGAAAAAAACATTTTTAATTTTCTTTTGAAAAATCGACTGAAGAATGTTCCTGTGGGCCCTTTATAATTTGAATGTTACTAATTTGAGTGAATGTTATAATTTGAATGAAGTATGGCCTATAAAATTATACCCCCCAATGGCAAGGCTACTCTTAGCGAAAGGTAATAAATCATGATTGGCCTGTTAAGTCACTGCAACGGTCGCCCTCACTTTCTCCACCCAGGCTTATAAAAGGGCTCTTTTCCAACTCAAATAATTATTACATAGCACATTCCTGTTTACATAGATTACCTCATTTATTATATGAAGACTCGCTGCTAGCCATCCAAAATACCCTTCTGCAGCACGGTGCTCCTTAAAGGCACTCAGGGTAGTGCAGAACTGACCTGGCCCCTCTCCAGACACTTTATCAAGTACCCGGATGACCTCATTTTGAGATTTGCGTGAGCCTGAGTCATAGACCCCCGCCGAGGACAGCCTCACAGTGATGTTCCCTTTCCCACCAACACCTGTCATGAGACCGTAAAGAAAATCCCGGGGAAGCACTGCTTCTTGACTTTTTTTCCTCATGCCTTTTAGATTTTCCTCATTGAAAAGCTTTCCAGCCTCTGCTTTTGCTTGCCTTTTCTCAGCTAGTTCCAGATAACCTCTGTGTGCTAATCCTGGGGTTCCTAGGGATGCCAGTAGGGCTGATGAGAAAGATTCTTCAGGCTTGCCAGCTTTTATTTCTGGATGATGGTGATGGTAGCAGTAGCCTCAGCCACAACAATGGTGGTTATTTAACATGTGTCCCCCACGTGCACGGTCATTCGGCATCATCGTATTTACATCCCTCGGAACCTGCACCCCCACTGTACAGATGGGAAAGGTGTGAGGCGTGGGGAGGCTCAGGAACTTGGCCACAGGCACCGAGGCGGTGAGTGCAGGAGCTGGGCGGTGAACTGACTTCAAAGCCTGTCTCCTTTGACTCGGCCACATTTCACTCTCTCGACATCATCAGTCACATCAGAACAGATCAGGGACTCACTGAGGCTGGGAAAGGAACAACAGGGCTCAGAACTCACTCAGGCGAGTGTGTCTGACTGGATGGAAATAGAACCTGGGCTCTGCTGCGTTTTCGTTTCTTGAGAAATGCATAGACTTCTGGCGTGAACTTGCCCTTTGGAACATCACGGAGGAGAGCAGGTCAAGTGGCTGCTCCCAGCCGAAAGTGTCATTTGAAAATATCCCGTAGAGTAGCTGGGTCTGATGGAGGCAATTTCACATCTGGTTTTCCCGTCAAGTCAGAGTGAAAACTTACAGTAGGTCTTGGTAGCATTGTGGCAGGGTTGGTCCTGGGAATCGTGAAGCGGGCAGCCAGCTGGAGGGGAGCGTCTGCACAGGAATGCCTTTGGAAATTAAACGTGGCAATGAAAACATTCTTTTGAAGGCAGATTTCCAGGTGTGCTCTAATTGAAATATAAAAGGCTATAATTGAAATATAAAAGAATGCTTCAAAAGCAGTGATCTATTTTGCGGTGATTGTAGTGCTAATCCTGAAATATGAGCATTAATTAATATGAAGACAGGATTGGGTGTGTAAAAGCACCTGTTTTAATCATTTAGCACGTTGGTCAGGACTAGACTGGGTGAGGCTTCTAGTCCAAAGGTGAAAAGGTCGCTTTCATCTATCAAATCCCACCATAATCGACCAAGGACAACCACGGGGGCCCTGCGGCAGCTGCGAAGACAAGACCCTTCCACTCTGGAAGCTTGACATGGGGGAGAAATTTGCTCCAGTTCGTGTGTAATGAAGTGGTCGAGGTGATGTGTGTTTAAGGGCTCCATTGAAGCTCAAAAGGAGTGAATCAGTTTTCAGTGCAAATCTGGTACTGCATGGAGATACTCTACACTGTGGAAGCTTTCCTTTGGCAGGAGGTTTTGTCTTCGTTGTGTGATCAGTTACTTCACAGCAGGTGCAGGAACTGGGTGTTTTTGCCTTTGCTAGCAGGCTCCGTGTGAGATCACTCAGAAGCTGCTGGAACGTCAGCCTTGAGATCTTAGGAAAGAAGTCAGCATGGTCTCCACCCTGTAGCAGCCCCTGTACCTAACCGGGGTGCATTGGTATCCCTCACTCACACAGTCAGGACGGGTGTGGGTCACACCATTCTGTACATGTGGTTTCTTTGTAATCTGTCCTGAAGTTAGAAAGTAAAAGCCAAACCCTTGTGTATGGGCTGAGGAGCCCAAGGTGGCGTGAGACGCGGGAGCCTTGTTTCCTGTGTGGTCTCGGGAAGGCCCCTGTGAGCAGGAACTGATGTTGTTTTGCCCTTTCATCTAGACGCACTACTTTGGCCTTTGGTTTCTCAGCAAGAGCCAGCAAGCACGATGGGTGGAGCTGGAGAAACCTCTGAAGAAACATCTGGACAAATTCGCTAACGAGCCTCTGCTTTTCTTCGGAGTCATGTTCTATGTGCCAAATGTGTCATGGCTTCAGCAAGAGGCCACAAGGTAGGTGTGTTTTTTTCCGCGTTCCACACGAGGGTGTGGGTGAACTGTGAGGCGTCAGCTGGAGTAGATAAGCTGGTTGATTTGGGGGGGTGTGTGTGTGTGTGTGTGTGTGTGTGTGTGTGTCTTGGGGAAAAGGATGCAGTAGATGGAGGTTCTTTACCAGCTGCTTTTCCACTTTAGAATTTTTGTTCGAAGCCCGACAGCCAAGCCCGGCAGTTCCTTACAATGCTGGTGAGGCGGGTGGAATTTCGTGTCTAGCAGCATGGGAGTATTCGTTGGAGACTGTGGGTAAAATGCGCTAGACTTGAATAAAAAATTGGGAATCTATTTACTGTTTAGTCTACTCTTTCCCTCAAAATGTCCCCAAACAAAATGTACCTTCAGTCTTTGGATTTGAGGATCAAGATGGTAACTGAAGACGGGAGTAGAGTTGAGAAAAATGTTGAGAAGGCAAGTTTTCATTGTCCAAGATAAATGAGAGGATACTGGAAGCCAGCAGTAGAGGGGAGACCTACATGTGCACTGGTCCCATCTTCCTGCTCACTGGCTGCTTAACCTTGGAGAGCATCACCTTCCATCTCTGCAATGATATTTCCCTCTTGTCTGTAAAGAGAGGGATTTGGATAACTTCCTCCAGTTCTGATGGTCTGTGATTCTATGAATGAAACAAATGCATTTTTGTTGGTGCTAGTGTAAGAGTTTTTCATTAAAATGTACTGGGGAGTGATGTGTCTCCTCATCGCATGGTTGTTTTCGGTAATAAAGGGAACTGCAGAAACTCTCAGATTTTCATCTTTTCCCCGGGGCGTGGCATTCAGAGTCCTTGGTAGGCCATGCCCGTGGCCTACGGAGGGGAAGAAACTGTGTTCGTCTTGATTATTGAACATGCCATTAGTTTCTTACGTTTTGAATTTCTGAAATAAGGAGGTACTTGCAATTTTTTATGTACATTTTAAGGTAAAAGCTTCCATCTTTTTTTTAAATAAGAAACTATTGTTTACATAGGTGGAATTTTTATGAACAGAGGCCATGAGACAGCTCACTGTCTGACCCGAAAGCCTGGGTTCAGTCTTTCAGGTGTCATTTCCTTGAAGTACTTGGTTATATACTGTCATCCACTGTTTTCAAGTTATTTCACTCATCTAAGGCCTTTCTGTGCAAGAAATTATTCACAGAAATCGGGTGATTTCCACTGGCTTTTGAATCCTTGCTGAATACCTTACACAGCTAGGAACACAGCATTACATTACTAAGTACTGGCTAATCCAGGGCTCTTGGGCCATTAAATGAAAAGCAATGAGTAACAAGGCTGAAACACGGGCTATAAATGAATACACGTTGAGGAAAAGTTGTCTGTGAGAAAACAAATGAAGTGTTGTTACCCTAGACAGTATTATTCTGTGAGGTCTGTTGTAGAAGAGCAATTGAAATGGTGAAGCACTCAGAAACTGTGCTTCCTGAATTTAGCAGAATCAGGTTTTTTTTAGAAAAGTGAAGACTTTTGAGGGTGGAGTAGCTGCCTGAGGATATTTGAAGACTTGTGGGGAAGGAATTCTGCCACTGTTCTGGAACACAACATTAGGGCTGATAGTGAGGGAAATTCAAGGAATTGAGAGACTTTGGTTACTTGGCTGAACATAAGAATACAGTCTCAACAATATTAATGAAATCCATATAAAAGTGCAACAAAAAAAGCAGACATATAAAAAGGCAAGCGTCTCGAAGTCTGGAAGTGAGTGGCATAGAGTGGATAGCGGTGTTTTGACCACCATATTGGGTAAGAAGTTGGAGGAGACCAGTTGCTTTAAACAGACCGGGACCTGCTATGGCACAGTTACCTGGACTATTATTATAAATATGGATTCCAGGGCTGTACCGGAAGTCTGAATGGGAATATCTAAGGCGAGGGATCGGGAGGATGTATTGTTTAAAATAAAAAATATTCCTCGATGTTCATCCATACTTGGGAATCAATAGATTTGTTAACCTCTATAGCTCTGTGCAATTTTAGATTTTCCAGGTAAGTAAAATTAACACTGCATTATTTGATTGTCAATATATGCACCCATAAGCTGAAACAAAGCAAAAAGTGTTTACATCTCAAAATTTGAGGGAAAGAGCAAAAATTTTTGGTGGTGATGGATGCTGGAGATTAGGTGCACTGTTTTCCTTTAGAATTTTTCTTTCTTTTTTTTTTTTTTTTACCCCTCCCTCACCTTTCCTTTAGAATTTCTTCTTGCTCAGTTAGTTTGGCTTGTTTAAGAAGTTTGATAAGGGGAGACAGAGTTTTTTCCAGGTTTCTAAAACAAACTCTATTACTGTCATTTGCTCCGAAAAACTAACAAAGTAATTTAAAACTTTAGAGGACATTTTTAGACTTAAACATTGGAACTAAACTATGTGGATTTCAGCTATGACCTTTTTATGGCAAAGGATGTTTAAAGTTAGGAGCTGGGTTTGCACGAGGAGTGTGTGTGTGTATATGTGATTTGGCATTGCAGGAATTTTTATTGCTCTTGGGGGTCTTGAAACTGGACTGCACTAACAAGGGTGTCAGAGCAAATCAAAGGTGGTACCTGGGGAGATGGAGAAATGAGAGAGAAAAGTATTGTGGGTGAAGAAAGGCAAATTTGCAGAGAAAGAAAGGACAGAAGAAGGGAATAGCACACACTCAGGAAGGTTGTAGGCCACCAGCAGTGACTCGGGTGTGGTGCACTGTGACCTCCTGTGGGTGGCAGGCACATAGACTGTAGAGTATAAAGGAGATGTGGTTGGGACAGAATCACCTTTTTAGGCTCCTGGGTTTGATGTTAGAGACAAACAAATGAGCTGAATTCAAGGTGAAGAATACTACTGAGTCTTAGGAGTCTCACTGTGGGAGGTGGGGCAGGAATCTGAGCTGTCCTGGGAGGTTTTAGAAGCACCTAGGGTCCCATCTGAATGTTGAAACTTCCAAGCAGAGCAGCCAAGGAGTGGCAGCGGCTGCGGGGGCGGGATTTCAAAGGGATGTTTCAGGGAAGGAGGAGGGTTCGTGACTAATTCTCCAGCCATCCGCTGTTACCCAGGTTACCGGCATCTCAGGTGGGAGATGGGCCTTGGCATCCGAGAGCACCTGGGATCTGCCACGTCTGACACAAAACAGTTAGTCTTTGTGATGCCCACGGAGGAAGATGTTTGCATAGATTAGACACAGAAATCTGTCTTTCATTGTGGGCAGCCCGTTGGAGGAGGCAACCATTCAACCATCTGTGCTTAAAAAATAAGTCTTTGTCTGCAGCCAACCAAACTTGTTTTTATCCAACACATGTTTGCAATGCTTTGGCCGCTTCTATTGGACAGTAAAACAGGTTCTATAGCCTTCGTCAGGACCAGCCTCCTCTTCCCTCTGAATACAGACAGAGAGTTTAGAACTAAGACTGTGGGTTTTTGCCCATTTGCTTGTTTGATGTGTGTGTGAAGCCATATATATTAAGGCACATAGTGGGGAAAGGAAAATTAAAAGGCATGTGTTGTGATTTCTTGTCCCCAGGCAACCCCGCCCTTGAAAATTTGCAGATTAGCAGGCTACACAGAAGAGCACAACAAAATGTGCTAATATTGTTTTTGCAACCTAAGAAGGCAAGACACTTTGTTGCAATGATGAAGACCAGATTTTTTTTAATTAGAAAATTGAGAAGCTCTGTGTTTTTGACATTAATCTTGACGTACTGTGTCTCCTCTCATCTCCTGGGTGTGACTTTTGAAGAACAAATCTCTTCAGTAAGTGAGGGAAGTCGGCCAAGATGCCATGATTGAGTCGGAAGTGAAAGAGACAAATCGGGCCCTCGTTTTAGGTGGTAAATGAAGGACAGGGAAAAAAGATATCAAAAGGAAAATACACACAGGAGTGCACAGAAAAGGAAAAAATCTCTTGATGTTCTTGGAGAAGCGTGAAGAAGCTGTTGAAAGGACCCTGTAGTGGACAGAGGGAGGGTGAATTGTGAACCCTTAGGAATGAAAAAGATTCTTAAGTTTGTTAACCCCACTCCAAGCTGTTAAGAACACATTAACCTTTGGGCTTTAAAAATGTTCATTTTCCTGAAACCTCTGACTAAAATGATGAAGCCGCTGTATTTTTCCCTTATTTTGCTTCGCTTCTCATACTCCTTTTTGCCAGCTTTTTTTGTTCGGCGAAGAAACTCTTGCTCCAGCAGTTCATCTTCCCCTGACTCAAAGGAAAGATTTTTGTAATGTGTTTTAATCATTTGCATAGCAACAGGCTCATTATAAACACATGGTTTTAGGGTTTTTTTCTGGACATGGAAAGAGAAACGATGGCTTGTGAGAGGTGGAGAAATTTTTAGTCAAACAGAAGGATACTTAATAATAGCAAGAGGAAAGCCGCAGGACTCCTGGCCAAGATGATTGCTTTTAGTTTAGCTCTGGGGGGTTTTCCAAGTCTTTCTCCACTGAGGAAGTCCCTCTTGAGTTTGGTTTTTCTTCCCCCCACCAATACCAAAGCGAGAACTTTTTCAATGCAAAAATCATTTTTGAAGATGAAATTTAAGCTTTAGAAGTTTACCCTGCTGACTGCATGCATGGTTTGAAAAATATTTAATTATGGGACATTTTCCTTTAACCAAAACGTGTTTGCCTTTGCATTAGTCACTGTGGAATGGTATGTTTCCCTAGTGCAAAGGAGCTTTTTAATTGTCCAAATGAGGTCAAATAACCTTGCCTTCTTTTCCAGGACCGGTTTTTGTCCTGTTGTGTAGGTGTGTGGTGTGCTCTGTATTGAAGCAAAGCAGGGGAACCATTGCTGTACCCAGCAGGCACCCCGCCCCCCCCCAGGGACAGCCTTAGCACAGTGTCGAACATCTGGCCGAAACTCCGGGTCTGTGGGACCTGGCCCAGGCTCCCCCCGCCTAGCGGGTGCTGTCTCTGAGTTTTCTGTCCACCCCCGCAGGTCTCTGAAGTGAGGCTCCCCGCTCCTCTGCTAGGTAAACTGTCTAGCGCTTATT